TATTATTATTGGACTACAAACTCTCAGAAGTGGTCACGCTGGGTACTGTAGTCCCAAATTCAACCTTCCGAGCTCTGGGCCATCCATGCTTGTGCCTCTGTAGTAAGGAAGCAGGCAGTCTGCATGCCATTTACCATGAAAGGGACCAAAACTTTGCTGATGTTGCAGAAACTGAGCCTGACTCAGATGATTAGTTTTGCTTTGTGGCAGAGAAACCGAAAGCCCAGCGGTGGGTCATGCTCTGCTGCCCTCCAGCTACACAAACCAAGGAAGGCAAGTGCTCTGGGAGGTGGGGCAGGGGGTCGGAGGTGGCTCATTGTGTCTCCAAAGGATTTCTCCTGCTGGGCTGGGAATGCCATTTCCATCCGCAGCCCAGCAGTCAGGGCACCAGCAGACTCAAGCCACCCTGTGTCCTGTTTCATTGGACAGAGAGGTTTCATTATACAAGATTTCACGGAGGAGTCTGGAATGCTGTCATGTTGTCATGACAAGCAAATGCCCCGTTCCTGCAGCGAAAAGAACCACTGAGAGCTCCAGAGCAGGCAGGCAAGATGAAGAGAGAACAGAGTAGCCCAATATTGTTGTTCCTTTATTTCTCTATTTATTTTTTAAAAATCTGAAATTCCCTTCAGTACAGTATTTCCAACACGGTTTTTATAGCAAAGCCTTTGAATTTGAAAAGAAACAGGGGCATCTAGAAGCACAGCCTCTTTTTCCACCAAGCTCAGTGAAAAACACCCCCTTGGTACCTTTGGCTGCTCCAACTACCGTACAATTGCACTCATTTTACACGCTAGCAAGGTTATGCTCAAAATCCTGCAAGGTAGGCTTCAGCAGTATGTGGACCGAGAACTCCCAGAAGTACAAGCTGGATTCCGAAGAGGCAGAGGAACTAGAGACCAAATTGCTAACTTGCGCTGGATTATGGAGAAAGCCAGAGAGTTCCAGAAAAATCTCTACTTCTGCTTCATTGACTACGCAAATGCCTTTGACTGTGTGGACCACAGCAAACTATGGCAAGTTCTTAAAGAAATGGGAGTGCCTGACCACCTTATCTATCTCCTGAGAAATCTATATGTGGGACAGGAAGCAACAGTTAGAACTGGACATGGAACAACTGATTGGTTCAAAATCGGGAAAGGAGTACGACAAGGCT